CCCCCCCCCCTTTGCCCTTTGGCCGCCTGGCTTCCGGGTCACGTGCCAAGCCGGCCCTCTAGCGAGACTGAGGAGTTGGCCACGGGTGCGCCGCCACCGTGGGAACCGGAGGCCTGCCGCCAACGTAGCAGCCTCGCGACAGCCAGTGGCCGCAGCCTCTCCGGCAGGTGATCGTCAAGCCAAGGGCGTAGCGCCCTTTAGGGACAGACAGACAGAAGGACAGAGAGACAGAAGGGGGGCGGCTCATGCTCTCTCGCTGGCTCGCCTTTAAACCCGAAGCTACTTCGGTTCACTTGCTCAACCCCGGGCGTTTGCTTGCTGGAAGTTTCTAGTCGCCGAGCCGCTCTGAGGGAGGCGTCTGGTCAACCCCGGTTGGCTGAGAGGAGCCATCTTTGGGGCCGCTGGACACAGGCCCAAGCCCTTAGCACCTGCCCGTTTCTGTCCCTGTCCCTGTCCCTTCGGCTCCCAGAAGACACCCTGGTCTTAGATTCGTAAATGTCGAGAAAAATTGAGGAGGTTCGAGGCGACCGCCTAGTTACCGAAAGCCAAACGAGACAAGAAAGAGGCCCGATTTCCTTCTTGGGCTTCGGATGGGGTCTCGTCCACAGACACTCCCAGCCAGTGATTTCTCCCGACTGTTTCTGCACCAGAAAAGAAGGAACGCTGCGCTGCTCTAAGGCATGAGTGGCCACAGGCTACATGGCCTCACGTTGTCCCCAAGGGTCCGCAAGGGGCGGGAAACCTCGCTCCAGAGGCAAACGCAGTCCAGTCTCCGTGGCCTGCAGAACACGTGAGAACATACAGAAGCCGGAGCCACGGGCAGCACAGGGTCTTTGGTGAGGAAAGCGCTAAAACCCTAAGACGCACATCTCGGAATTCATGGAAAAACGGGAATTTTCGCCCTGCGACCAGCTAACGCCGAGGCGAGACCCTCGTTCGTGAAGCGCCAGGGTCCACAGTGCTCATTAACGAGGGAGACGACAGGGAGAAGGCGGGTGGATGCAGGCTTTTGTGCGTGGCCCCCGGGCTGGAATAGGACGTCCAGTCCAGACCTTTCCAGGCCACTGAGCACAGGCCCCAGATAAAAACGCATGTGTGCTGAGCGTGCACGGAGGGGGGGGTGCGCGTGTGCATGCGTGTGCGTGCCCCCGTGGCCACCGTGGCCGCTCTCGGGCGATGACATGTTGCAAGGGCCAGTGTTTGGGGCGAGGTGAGGACCCATAACCAGAAAAGGACCACTGAATACTCAACAGAGTCGGGACACGGGAACACGTCAGTGACATTCGGGCGCTCAGTCCACCTGGTGCGCACTTGGCCTTCCTCGTCCAGATTTTGTTAGTCTCCCGGGCGGTGGGGGGCGGGGGGAGGCGACCAGTGGCAAAGTTTTCACGAAAGGCACAGTGTGAACCATGGACGGGCCAGGATGCTCCAGGTAGACTGAGGGCCGAGGCGGGAGCCCGGGGAGGGGGGAACACGTGTCTAGCTGCCTTCCGTGGCCCTGTGTGTGGTGGGGACAGGGACAGACCTGCTCCCCGCAGAGGTGGCCGGACTGGGCCACGGAAGGAGCAGGGCCACGAGGGGCATGCTGTCGAAAGAAAAGAAAAAGAAAAAGGCA